TCTGTGTTTTTTTTTTTTTTTTGGGGGGGGGGGGGGGTGTGGGGGGAGTTGAGTATTAAAGAAGACATGAAGTGAAGAGCTTAGTGCTACTTTCTTCCATAGTGACATTGTAGCTTTTTGGCAGCAGCTACGCCAGCAATAGTTAACTTCACTCTTCTCCTCTTTCTTTTATATCTAATTGTTGCCCTTTTTATGATTGTGTTTTAGTTGCTACTTGTGTGATTTACTTTATGCTTCTAGATGAAAATTGAACTTAAATTTTTGTGGTAGTAGTTCATGGTTTATTGCTAGCATAATTTTGCACTTCCTAATTTTGTGAATTTTTTGTTTAGAATTGTGCTTCAATGCCTTAAAATCTTGTGCACCCATCTTTAGCCTTTTTAAAGACTGATAACGTGTAGCTTAAAAACCTAAAGCAAATTTCCGTATAAACACGAAAAAGGAGTGACAAGACAAATAGAAACAAAATTATGTACTAAATTGAAAGGCAAATAGCTTACGTGGTAGAGTTGAACTGATAAGACTAGGGGATCCAGCAGAGCTGACACCTAAATAAGACAGTGATGCACTTGTCAACTCCTCAAATTGACTCATTTTGTCTTGAATTTTCTCTTTCCCAAGCAGCTCAATAGACACCCTTTTGTTTCTTGCAGAAAGAACATACATCTCATCTAATGCATAAGAATACACAATATTCCAATGACTATTAGCCAAGTATTTACAGGAAAAGTGAGAAGATTGAAAAGAAAAGAAGATAAGGAAATGTAGTAAGTTGGGTGAGATAACGTAGAGTGATACATTGGTAAATTGTATTGAAGAAAACAACGTAAAAAAAAAAATTATGCCCCTGTTTGAGCCCCATTTTGGAGGAAAAAATGAATTTTTGAATATTGTATTGATGGGAAAATAAGGAAAAATTTTAGATTTACGTGTAATATTATTTATTGAAAAATGTGTGGTTGAAATGATGACAAAAATACTGTAGAAGAATGCATTTTTTTCTAAATAATGGGGCTCAAACAAGCTATATATAACTAAGCCGCAACACAAAATTCTTAAAAGTCTGAAACTAGATTAATGGCATATTTGGAATTGGGATAGCTTCTACTTCTACTTTTCAAGAAACCACCTTGGGCCATCTTTCTCTACAAGCACTTCTAAGCATTCGAAGCAAGTTCAGAATACTATCTAAACATGCCTAAATGCAGCTTCTTAGTCTCAAAAGTCACACCAAATAGGCACTAAAGCTATGAAAGTGTAAGTTGGAAGAGTATTCCAACTTCTGGTGCAGCAAAAACAATATCCTACTTTAACATGCCCCTTAGAACCCTTGAAAACGAAAGACTGCTTAGAAAGTAGTTCTCAACAAATAAAACATGAATACTGCCAAATCTGAAACTTTAAATAGAGAAATTGACCACCGGAAAATGTAAGATTATTCCAAGTATTCTTCATTAATTTGCATATTATTCAATAAAAAAAATTCTAAACGAAGATAAAGATAATATACTATAAACATAGATAGTCATTCCCACTCTAACCATAAAAGGAATCACTCGCTCAGACCCCCATAGTTATTCCAGTAAGAGTATAGTCCAAAGTGATCATAACATTCTGCATAATGCAGATGCATTCAAATGCCATGAATTTGAAACGTCCTAAGCAAATGAGTAAAACTTTTATACACACAAAAGCCTTGTTTCAAACAAATTCATAAAAACTTGCTGCAAAACGTACAACGTCCTAAGCTCAACCGTTAAAAACTATACACATATAGGTCTTGTTTCAAACAAATTCACAAACACACCAGCAATGTACACTGCACAATGTACAATTATTTTACTTAAAATAAGCAAGATTAACATTTGATGCACATAGTAGTACCTTCTTCTTCTTTTGTAGAAACAGTTCGATAGCGAACTTCAAGTGCTTGTAAGAGCGAAATTCCGGAGCTCAGATTGTGTGGTCGAACAAACGATGCCGTTTTGAGGCCTCTGGCGTCGAAGTACTTAACGCCGTTGTGGGACCCATCATGCTTGCCGTCGCCTTCGTTGTCCCAGTCAACTCCGACCCATGTACCCGAAAACCCCTCCACGGGTCCCACATACTTTACCGTTCCAATCCGCCGGGTATCCCCGATCCAGTGAACCCGCTTCCCGACTCTGAACCCACATTCTGGATCGGAGTGGGTTTGATGTACCGATGAAGAAGAGTCCGGGGGGTTCTGCATCTGCAGTGGCTAAATGAGTCGAATCCAGTGTTCCTATCCTTTCCTTTCCTTTCGTTTCTATTCCTTTCTAAAAAATCTTTGTTCACTTTGGATTTAAATTAAAATCAAATTAAGCCCCATTTATTTATCGTAAAATAGGAAAATGAGTTTTAGAGACCTGTATTTTTAGCAAATATGTAATAAAAAGGAAAAAAAATTAAATTTACTTGTAAAATGCTAGTGTGAATTTTGATGATGCCTGCAGTGGCTTTAGCCCCTCATCGTTACCAAGTTTCTGCATGGCAAAACGGAAAAAATGACCAGTTGTCAATAACAAAAAATTTCTTAAAGAGGATAAGAGGAAATTGGAAAATCAGTATTTACATCTACTATTTCTAGACGTAGGCACTTTTTTTCAAAATATGTGGAATCGGATCAGAACCAAATAGCGACAGTTCATTTCCAATTCCTCTAAAAGATGTGTCGACTTTGGGACTATACAACGATAACCAACCAGTTTCGGTCCAATTCTCGGTTCTACCTTGAGAACTCTTAGTGAATTCAGTTCTCCCAAATTTTTCTTTTTACTTGCATCAAGATGCACTAAATTTTTCAACAATATACCCCAAAATAATGTTAAAATTTATTTTTTTATACACTTTTTCTTTACTTTAATGGGTAATCAAAATTCAAGTCTAAATAATTTTATAAATACTTTACAGATTCATAACTTTAATGCAACCCAATTTAGTTCAATATTTTATTAGAATCAAGATCCATACGAAAGACTAAAGATTATTGGACTATTATTATATGAATTTTCTTAAGAACTGATTTTCAAACGAAGTTTTACCACTTATGTTGTGTTTAACATTGTATCATTTTTATAGTGTTTGTGAGTTGATCTTGAGTTTTGGAATGGAATTTTATTTGTAGCCTTGTTAAATTATTTTTTATATTGTTATATTACAAGAATGACTAGTGATTTTATATTTTATTTTTGTCTATTTTCAACCTGACAAGTAGTTTTATATTTTATTTTTATAATTTTTTCAAAGTAAAGAACTAGACCAGATCGAGTAGGAACCAATTGGTTCGATTCTGATTCTGTTTGATAGTTGGATATTAAAGCAATGGTTCCATTATTAAGATTTCTATTAGTACTTGGTTCGGTTCCATTCTCTTTAGAATCAAACCAAATTAGACTGCACCTAGGAATGTCAAGTGTCAACGAGTCAAGCACCTAGCTCACGAGCCAAAACTCGGACTTAGATCGAGTAAAAATGATTGGGGCATTTTTTTGCTCGAGTCGATCTGAGCTTTTGCTCAATCAAAAAATTTTAACTTAGTTCGAACTTTCGGTTGTGGACTTATCGAGCCAAGCTGGCTCTTTTTTTTTTTAAATTTGTAACAGTTCAACCATTTTTTAAAAAAGATTTAAAATTTGTGCAATTTGTACGAATTATAAAATTAAATTAAAGATACAACCCTCCTCCTTTATTCGGGTTTGGAATCGACTACAATTAATATAAGATGAGTTAAAATTGTACACTAAAAATATTTCATGTACAATTTTTATTGAAACATATAAATTTAAAAATTACGTATTTTTAAATTAGTCAATTTAAAAACTTACAATATCCTTATACTTGGATTTGCTGCAATTCTTCGGCCATTATACTGTTCACTTGTTTTTTAATATGTAATTCCACACATTCTTAATCCTTCAAACATATTAAAGCTTTCAATATATTTTCTTTTAGTCATGATCGTTCATCTGATAAAACTCGACTATCTAAACTAAATTTATCCTTCCATGCCACTGTAGACACCAAAGGTGTTAGTAGATCACGTGCAATTTTTTATACAATTAGATATTGCCTTTCGTTACACCTCCACCATAATAAAAGACTAAATTCTTGTACTTATTTTGATTGTAATACACTACAAACATCCACGCAACTATAACTAGCTAATTAAGAAGGAATTTCAAATTTTGTACCACTAACATCTATCGATCTAAATATTGAAAAGCTATAACTAAATGAGGGAATACTTATATTGGTGTCCAATAATTACATATATCATCTAAATTTGTTAAGATACTTCTTACAAAAGAACTTTGGGAAGTAAAGTTGCCCTGACCTTCTTTTTCAGTATAATAATTATACATTTTACATAATATAGATTCTATATGTACATGTGATAATTCCACATTCATGAAATTTGAAATCCCCTTTATTATAACTTTTGTTTTAGTTAAATTAGGTCGAGGTTCCATTGCCGAAACTAAAGAAATAAATATAGCAATTCTTTCTAATATTTGCGAAATTTTAACTCTATAAAGTAAATTACATCAATAAAAACTGATGAATTCTTCTATTTTATGAAATGTCCGTGAAATGTAAAAAAAGTATTGTATAACAAGTGAATATGTATGGTAATAAAAACTGTTACATTCCTTTGTCTCATTAAAAAGAGATTTTAAGAATTTCTTCACATAGAATACAATAAACTATCCTCCATATTACAAATTATGTTCAGGTCCGTATGTATGCCTACCATTATAATATAATGAAATAACTTTATCATAATTTCCACACAAATATAACATAAGATATATAAAGTTCCATCTATGTGTTACATTAGTGGCAAATGATTTCTCTTATAAGCTAAAGGTGATAAATATAATGAGCCATAGCAGTAATATAACGTTTTTTATTATCATCGGTCCATAAATCAAAGGTAAACAATATAATAGTATTAAAAGGTTTTAATTGTTCGATAGCAACTTGTTTTCTTTTATTATATAATTTTATAGTATTTGAATGAAGAGTATTTCTACATTAATAAGTATACCCGAGTTGGAGATAATTTTGCATAAGTCGACTAAAATGTATTGAGTTTATCATCGTAAGAGTCATCTTTGCTGCAGTCACGTATACAATCATTTCTTCGTGAAATCTTTCCCATGAATATACCAAGGTGGAAATAGTAGAACAAGAATCATCAACACACTAGTTCAATCTGTTTCGGATCGAGATCGATTGGCTTATCTTTACAATTCCATAATATGTGTCTATTCAAATGGATTGTGCTTGAACCAGGCTTCCAACTAAGATTTTCACCACAATAATTGCAATATGTTTTCGAAATATCAACTCTATTTTGAATACTAACTTTTTTACGTGTCATGTTTTGCCAACAATCGGAATATTCATTTTTCAACATTTTAGTTTCGAGTACTTCTTTATCTTCGATATCCTCCAAATTAATTGGAACATTTTGAAATCCATCGTAACCGGTCAGAGTATTCAAACTACTATTAAACTGATTAATTTGATCACCAGTAAAATTCATCTATAGCTATTATAATAAAAGATATTGAATATTTGAGTAAAAGAAATTGAACATTGGAGCATAAATTAGAGAAAATCACACCCCTAACCATACCCACTCCTAATTGACACCCCTAGTCGTGCCCACTCAATATATTTTTAACCTAATATAAATTTTTTTAGGCCCCATTTGATTTTCATTTTTATCAAAATACATTTTTCTCTCTTCTTTTTAATCATACATTTTTCATTAAAATAATATTACATGTAAATAAAAAAATCCTTATTTTTCATCCACACATTATCCATCAATCTACTATTCTAAAATTCATTTTTCCATAAAAATGAGTATAAAACACCCTCTTAAATAGACATATAAAATTAAATAAAAAATATATCACATTTAATTCATCTACTAATATTTATTTTCAATATATTCTTTTAAAATTTTTTATATATGTTTAAAATTAACTGAAATCCAAAAAATCATAAAATATTATCTTCAACTAAAGTTTATATAAGCACTTATATTCATTCTAAACTCAGTATATGCTTAGCGTTAATGTGGGATGGCGTGATATATTGCGCATGTATGAAATGAATCCTAATATTTGGAATCGATCGAATCATTCCGCTATGTATACATAGATCTGTGCTTGCATTTGCGATGCATGAGAGAGAGAGAACTACAATTGCATTTAACCCAAATAGCAATGTATACATCATTCTGCAAGCCAATTTTTCATGTTAATCGTATCTAAATGTAAGTATTATGCCATAAACTCAATCAAATTTGGTCAAAAAGCATTTAAATATATAATTAATA